ACTACCCGAATGCATGTCGAGGTATTGATTGTCACGAGCCAAAATTGAATGCCTATGTATTGCTCGTTGTTCACTGTATGGGAAAGAAGAGAGCCGGCGGCGTCGCCTTTGTCCCCTATTGTTTCTAGAGACCTTAGATTGTAGAGAGGGTTCAACTCAAACCATAATGAGCGTTTGCAATTTAATGGCAGACGACTCCATCGGAGATCGGTCGAAAGTGCGCTTGCGTTGCGCATCGCGTGGATAGGAGGAAAGCAGGCGGGACGGCGGAGACGCTTGCGGACGACCAACGCGTTTGTCACCTGTAGCTCGTATTGCAAACGCGACCGATACACCACGTTACCCCGACCGAGCAGTTGGAAATTCCCTGTAATACAGGCCCTCTGATTGTTCGCTGCCCCATAGCGGTTGTCGCCGCCTAATCGTCGGGAAGCAATGGTGACGAATTGAATGGACCTAGTGTGTCCGTCATTATTACGACGAGATTTAAGGTTCTCACAAATTCGTCAAGTTTTTTTCCGTGGCGCAAACTTTGAGCGAGAGTAATCTGAGTGCGGTGGCTAAAAAAGTGCCTACTACAGTCTAGTGCCTACCAAAGAAAATGATCAGTTTGCAGCTAGGGGCGCCCTGGTCGGGTCTTGAGTAATGTCCGCTCCTCTCCCCATTTAAATATCGTCACAGCGGGGATCGCATAGCCTGATGACGCACTTCTGGGGATCGCATTGTTAGCGTTGTCCCTGCAGCTTCGTCATCAAGTTTTGCGAAGGAGAGACTGAAAGAAAAGGGCAGCGATTATCTTTAGAATTCCCCCGCGACAAAGCTTTTTTCTTGGTCAGTGGCGTTGCGCTTGAGTATTCTTGGGTCCCACTAGTGCCAGTAAGAAGTGCCAGTATTGGGTAGAAAAGTGAGAAACTTTCCTACCCAATATCGTTGCACGGCCCCTTTAAACTAAATAGTTAAAGGGACACTGACACACCCCAAAATTTATTTTTTTTATTTTTTGCCAGGCGATTTATTATGGTGCCAGAAGACTACCCAATCAATATTTTGCTGCAGAGTCACGTATATTTTTATTAAAGAAAAAGAAACGCAACTGTTCGAAGCCGAAACCGAAACCAGACTGGGGAGCAAGACGAAATGATAAAGGAGGAAAGAGGTGGCGGAAGTCACGTTGCCGGAATACGTTTTCCCCCCAAACAACGCATTTGCAGCTTTTCAGAAGCAACAAAGAAGGGGCATCATCTTTTTTTTATTTTTAATCTTGTATGCGTGCATTCGATGACCTACGACTTTGATTACATTTAATGATTGTGACTAAACCATAAAAAAAAAAAAAAAAAACGCCACGTGACCACGGAGAAAAGAGTGAGCGCGACTCAAACAGGCCAGTTCTCGATCGGCTGTTTTCGGTCAAAAAGACAACGAATTTGGAGCCGCGAACTGTTTTCTGGGAAGTCGGGCTCTCATATGTAATGTACAAATGAAAACCTTGGCGAGCATAAATACCCTGTCAGTGTCCTTTTAAGAGAACAGTTGCCACGCGAGTGGGAAGCAGCTCATCAACTGGCATTGAAAAGGAGAAAGAAGCAGATTTGTTTTGTTTAGTCTCGTGAGCGAGACACGTGAGGCTCTTCCGTCAACTCATAGCGCCGTGAAAGAGTGTAAAAAATCCGAGATATTTTACGGGGGAAAAAAAAGACGAAGAAAAAAACTAAAATAAAATATCACAGTTCTCACCGGTAAATATATTAATAAAAAAAGCGGTCCATGTTACGACGGATCGTAAACCGACACTTTCCTTTTGCCCCTCGCCATAAAAACGTTCATACCCGGTCCTCCCACATAAAAAAAAACAAAAAAAAAAAGAACACCGAGGACTGAGCGCAACAAGGATATGAAATCAAAACAAATGGCCTAAGAACAATCGATGGTGCGGCAATAAATGTAAAAAATAAACCGAAGGCTGTCCGAGCAACCAGGCGTAAAAGCCGAGAAAAAAAAAAAAAAAAAGGAAAAGGAACGGCCTTTTTTTTTTACAGCGCCACCCGCAGCCTCCTCGCACTCGCTCCTTGCCTCATCCGTGCCTTACAGACGTTAGCCCAGAAACGCACACAAATACAAACAAGGCAAGCCCAGGCACTCACGCCCACACACACACGCGCGCATATACGCACGCACGCACGCACTGACGGAGACACATACAAAAACAAAAGCGGCAAAGGCGGAAGAGTAATCATTTTAATGCATGCCAGATCCTGGAAGCGACGGGAACCCGGGTGAGGATCTCGAGCGTATCCGCCATATTGGTAGTCCCAAAGACAAAAAGACAAAATAAAACGAAATAATAATAAAAAAAAGTGGAAGGAGGAAAGCGGGGGAGTGGAGGAGGCAATGGGATGTGCCAGGCGTTATCACCTCGCGTGAGCGCGCCGGAAAGCCGAGAGCGTTGGGTCACGTGACGCGACCGCGCGCGGCGCGCACGCGCGTGAGTGCGTGCGCGTGCGCGGTGCATCCCCGTATTTTGGCGCGTGAATTGCGCGGGCCGTATGTTTCCTTGCCCATGTGAATGACGGTGGGACAGCGTAAATAGAGATCGAGAGGAAAACAGGACCTTGTTAACGTAAAGGGGTGTCATCATTCGTAAATTTCGAGTAGGAGCGAGTTAGACCCTTTATTTTGTTTTATTGTTTGGACACCGTTCTGATCAAATGAATTTTGAGTTCGGCAGCTATGCTAATAAAAGCGCTTTCCCGCCTTTATGAACAAAGTGGAAATCGAATGAAAACAGAAAACCTGCGAAAAAAAATATAAATATAAAAATAATTTAGTGTATTCTTTGTACAAGCTTAGCTTGCATGAGCAAGAACTTCAGAATACCAACTATACTTTGTTGCAACGTAAGATTGGCAGTCATGCTCTGAAGTAATATAGAAGCTAGGGTTCCGGAAGGAATGTCCCAGGAAAAAAATGTCCCCAGAAAAAAAGTCCCCGGAAATAATGTCCCCGGAAAAGAAGGCCCCAGGTGTAAAGAAGGAAAAAGATGTCCCCAAAGAGACATCTTTCCCCGCTTGCCTGGGTTTTCCCGGATTCTCATGGCCTTCGGACGGTCCTGTCGTTGTCCGGTCACAAATGACCTGAGTTCACACTCGTCGAAATACAACGCCGTCTTCACAACCTCCGCGAAAAGTACGCCGCTGGGGCAATCGGAATTGCAGGTTTCATGTGTGCTGTCGGCCGTGCAATTCGCTTCTGACTTTTGTGTATGAATCTAGAGTGTGTCATTTAAGTCCTGATTTCGTAGCATTGCATCTCAAGTGTTTTCGTTTTTCATTGTGAAATAAACATTTATAACACTTCTAGCCAAAACCAAATTATTGCCTTTGGGAACTTTGAGAGGTACTTGTGTACCATTTCCAAATAGGTAAAAAACGCGACACTGTTATCACGAAGAAGCGATCGCTAGTTTTTTTTTTTAATCTGTTTTTAATATAAACAAAAGGTTAAAACTTAATTGTCATCAAAGTTATTATACGAGGTACTGCAACTGCTTATTTGGAAATATAACGCAGACGGTAAAATTTCGTTCCCACCAATATTCTTTCTAAGTAAAATGTGAAAATGCGCCGATGTCGTGTTCGCGCTAACAGTGTCGCGATCTCTACCTCGGAGAATCGTATATTTTCTTATTTGTTGGGGCCGTTTTTTTTCTACTGACCAGTGGTGCCTTTTTTCCGAAGGACATATAACCGGACCACCCGAAGGCCATCAGGATCAGTGAAGCCCAGAGCGGAAAACGTTTTGGGAACATTTTTTCCTACCTTCCACCTGGGGCCTTTTTTCGGGGGATATTTTTTTCCGGGATCATCTGTGATGATTTCAGGTGGAAACAAAATATAGTAAGCAGTTTCTTGTGTGCAATAACTTAATTTGCGTATGATGTCTATACAAAGCAATCCACTGGTGGTAAATTATTAAAAAAAATAGGCTCGGTGAACACTACCGTGTAATAACCTTAAAACGAGTGAAGAAGCCAGAAAAGTTTAACGAAAACCGTTTTTTTTTTTACCGTGTAATTTTTAAATGCATATAATTGGGTGAGAACGTTTGCCTTTATTATAAATGTTCCTCGATGAAAGCAATGGAAACATTTGTTCGACTACCACTTAGCATACAAGCCCTACTAAAATAATGTAGAACTAAGCCAATGCGGTACCAAAAAATGCAAGCAATATCGCGGGCGTAAATTGACATCCAGCGGGGCTAAAGCTTGCATTGAATAAAAATGTATTCGTAAGTTGGTAAAAAAAGAATACCGCATCCAATGTCGAATTAAGTCATTGAATGCATTTGTCTGCAATGTTAAAAGTCGCTAGTAGCTCAAAACATTTGCAGAGGCAAGGCTCATTCGCTCATTTTCAATAAATGACTATCGTTTTCTTCCGCGTGAGTCCAAACTGGCTGACTCGACTGAAATATTCCCCCTTAATTTTTATTCACTGCGGGACTCTACACTAGGAGTTGCCGTGGTTTTTTTGCGACAAGAATTAAGCTAAAAAATAATTTGTCAGAAACAGGTAACAAGTAAGAACGTGAATGCTTTCAAGTACAAGAACTCCCAAGTATAAACGGTATTTCATGTTTTTTTTTTAAATTATTTCTTGCCTTCTTCAATATAATATGCGCTGAGCAGGAACATACCCTAAAATAAGTGCATGCCGCCCTTGCTTCCTACTATGATAAATGGCTCCAATTTCGGACTGCCGACAAATCTATCGCAGCTTTGTGACAACCCAAGAAATGTTACGGTGCACAGCGTGTTGACAAACATATATATTTATGCTACCAGTTGAGGACCATTGAGCGTTAGAAAGAATGCTTCTTGCAAGATGTGCGTATGTTATGTCCCCAACATTGTTTGTTTTTCGTGTCTCTAGTGGCTTCGTGGCCCCAAGCCAAGCCTGGGCTCGAGAATACGCAACAAGAGCAGGGCGAGGTCTCACTTGAAGAAGTCGTCCTTGCAGTAGACGTGCCCGTTCCTGGCGAAGCACTTGTTGGCCAACTGTGCCTGGCAGTCGGCGCACTTGAGGCAGCGCGCGTGCCACGACCGCTCCAGAACCTTGAGGATGAACCGATCCAGGATGGGTTGTTCGCAGCCGGCACACTTGGGGATGCTCGCTGTAAAAGGGCAGAAAATGATAGGACACGGGATAAAGGTCTGAGATGCCTTAGTCGGTAATATGGCAGCCACTATATTTTGTTTATTATTTATGTATATATATTTTTTTAATATTCATAATACCTTGAAAGTCCTGGCATTAGGTTAGATTTGGTTGGGTTAGTTTAGGTTAGGTTTAGCAGCGCAGGGATGAGCTGCTAAAATTTGCACGGCGTTTGTAGGCCGACATATTTTTTTTTTTAAATATTGTTTCATCTGAACAATAATCACACTAGGTTTTAGGCATAATTCCTAAGTATTGAGCTATTACGATTAAACAAATATCTGAGGTTGTATACAAAATAAAACTTTCAGAAAGCGCACGAATGTTTTAAGCTGTCTACGGGAATGGGGTCTTTTATTTTTCAAAGATGCATCCTAAACGAAACATATTCTAAATATTCTAAACGAAAATTGCCCGAAGTCGGCTCAAAAATTGCACACAAAGTGCATTTGGTACTGACCACTGATATACTCTCCTAAATAAATGTAAAAAATGACGGCTATTTTTTTCAACATTACTTGCGGTTTACCAAGGATAAAATATCAAATTTTCGCGACATTTTTCGGCATAGCAGCGATTGTGTAAAAATGGGCATCTGGATGCACGTTTATCGCTCTACACTTTTTTACCAGTTCGTCCCCCAAACCTGGACTTCAGTTGTGGCAATAATTGCAGGCGTTTTAACGTATGAAGGACTTTCGGCAAAAGATTCCAAAATACCCCGACTTCTGTACACAATCATACGTATGAACATGTTTCAAAGTCCTCAATACACTCTATAAAAAGCCCGTGCGTCTGCTTTCCCGCACAACACTCGTAGAGCCAATCACCGCAACTTATGGAGGAAGCTTAGCGAATGACAATGCCGAAACATATGTTTAGACCAAAAAACGCAGTCTGAGGAAAGCAATGCAAGCGTGACGTTTTGCATTGCTTAATGCCACAACTCAGACGACGTTTTTTGGTCTAAACATATATTTCGGCATCGTCATTCGCTGAGCTGCCTCCATAAGTTGCGGTGATTAGCTCTCCGAGTGTTGTGCGGGAAAGCAGACGCACGGGCTTGTTTTAGAGTGTAGAGTTTTAAAATAGATGAACTTTGCTTTTTGTGCCCGATTGGTTGTTCACTCTAAGAAATGCCTGCGCGTCAACTTACCCGCAAAACACTCAAAGAGCCAATCTCTGCGATCTAAGAAATCGGCTCAGCGAATGATGAGGCGGAGCATCCGTTTAACCCAAAAATGAAGTCTGCGCTGTGGCATTACGCAGTGCAAAGCGTCATGATTGCATTGCGTAATGCTACAGCGCAGACTTCATTTTTAGGTCTAAACAGATGTTTCGCCTCATCATTCGCTGAGCTGATTTCCTAGATCGCAGAGATTGGCTCTTTTAGTGTTTTGCGGTAAGTTGACGCGCAGGCATTTCTTAGAGTGTTGACAAGTTGACAAAAGACAAGTTGCATGGTGTGTAAGAAGACCATGGAACTTGTGATTTTAAAGCGATGATAAGTCAATAGACTGATTGCCGACGAGCGCATATGTCCGAGTGACGCCATGCTTGTGTTCAATGGGTGAGCGGCAGTTGGCTGCCGTGCTTTGGCCACCGTGAATGGATCACGGTAAAAAGGCGGAAAGCCAATGAAGAAACTGTACGAAATAGTCCGCTATATTTTTGAATTTTCATACCGGAAAGCAGGCTTTTGACTTTCTACACTCTTTCTTTTGACCCCCTAAAGAATGTGCGATTAAACAGATTCCAATTTAAAATTATTTATACCAGCTCAAAAATTATTTCATGACCATTTAGGTACAACATTATCATTACAAATTTATAATTTTTGTATTATTTGTTATTATTCATCATTCGTCTGTGAAAAACTAATAGTTTCACTTTATATTTTATCGTTGTGTTTTTATTTTGGCTTTATATATATGTTGGTTTGAATTATTCTTTGAGTTTAGGCTACTTATAAAATGCGGCATTTGGCTATTGCGTATTTAAAGGGGTACACCGGCCGTTTTTTGAGCTACCCAAACAAGTTGCATTCTCTCAATGCCCGGAATGTAGTCTTAACGGTATGCTATTTATTGTCTCGAAATTGAACATAGGTATTACGAAAACCGTAAATAAGGTGATGCCGAAACTGACATTCAAATTTTCGCGCGCTGTTTGTTTAGCATTATTTTTTTCGTGCTTCGCAGTGAATGAGCTTCCAAGCATTCTTTTCCCACCATCAAACGTTGTGTATATGTGGTTTACTGCCTACCAAGTATTATTTCTGTCGTCACACTTCAGTGTTGCCAGTAGAGGCTCTCGGTTTGAGAAACACAATGAGAACGAAATAATAAAATTTAGTAACTTGGCGAATTTTTTTTCTTCCACACAATACTTGGGGGACTAGTACAGTCGTGTCTATCGCTGTGTTGAGCCAAATTTGAGGCAAAATTAGCGACAATAAAATATCGTTAAGGTACCTCTTTAATATAACTGTGTATTACATCTGAGTCACCAACATGGTTTTGTAAGAAAAAAACATGTGCCATGCCTACATAAAAATAAAATATAAACATAATTGTCTAGCATCATTTGTTATTTTAACATTAAAAGTGTTAATGTTATTTGTTATTTTAACATTAAAAGTTTTAAAGGGAATGCAAAATCCCCTTAACGATTTCACAACACCATCATATTCGGTATGCCAACTTGTATGCTTAAACCCATAACCATGAAAAATGTTTCATTCACTCCTTTTAAAATTCTAGTTGCACAACTGAGCAATTTCCATTTGGTTTGGGACAGCTTAAACACAACGGCGATTGACTTCTCCCGAGGCAAATCCTCGTCAAGTGCGTGAGTCGATCTTTGATAAAAAAACACAATCTGTAAAACGTTTCACAATGCCATATTTAAACTTACTTTTTTCTCTTATTCTTTATAGTACAGCTGGCAATCCGTGACACATAGCACGTCGCTCGGGGAAGGAAACCTAAGCACTCGAGAGAAAGGAACGTGGTGACAATTCTGACTAAATAATTGGCTACTCTTTGTTAAAACAATGATGAAAGAGGACCTTATTTTCTAAACAAAATGCAGACTTTCCAAGTTTTACTTGGGAAGTCTAAAATGAAATCTAAAATTTCTTTGGAATTGGTCTCCTCGAAAATTAGGGATACATGCACAATTCTATCAAAACGCGGGCGATGTTCCACCAATCTTCAAAACCATTTAAAAAGTTATTAGATGTCTGACTTCCTATAATCTCCCTATCGCTCTTATCTCCTCATTATCCTGCCTTCGTGAATATATCTGTACAAATCGTTCAACATGTTTTTAATATTTTACCACTTTAGGCTAGTAATAAAACAAAACCTAAAACATGTTGCCTGTGTTTCGTTATTAACATTAATACAACATTTTTGTACGAGTATCACTCATTGCTTATGTTATTATAGTTCCCCAGAAAACTCTGCAACTGCAAAATACCAAATAATAATTTAAAAAAAACATGTGTGAAGCAGCAGTGCAACACACAGGCCGACACCGCTTATTGATCAGTTGTTATTGTTCATGGCAAGGTTACGAAGCCGTACCCGTCGTGATATATTTCGAAAGAAATTTCACAAATTTTCCAAGAATTTCCGCAATAATTGTGATTACAAATAAAATATTTCTCGTTGCATCTCATACCAAATGTCCACTGCTTGTTGATTTCACAGTAGACGCAAACATAAGACTAATAATTAGGTCTGCGCTTTGATTAAAAATTGTAACCGAATTAATAGCCCCACCTTAATCGATAAATCGGTTTCGTTCTTTCCGTAGCATAAAAGTTAAAAAAAGTCAAGATTATGTCTTTTGCCTCTGCTTAATATAAAGAATGGCGCAATTTACAATTTTGTATTTTACATCAAATTTGATGTGCTGTTGAGAACAGTCCAAAGACACCCAGACTCACAAAAATATTACTTCAGCCGCAGATGCAAGGATGCTCATTGATATTCACCAGCAATGGCGATTGTTCACATGTAGTCTCTTCTGCGCTAAACGGACACTCGCAGGGACACTTGAACAGCGTTGAAGTGACTCGGACACGTATAACATTCTCCACTTGTTTAGGGTGACGAATCTCGCCCCTTCAGTTTACATCAGGTTAAAATTTCAACTGAAGTTTCCCTTGATATGAGGCTATTCGCCCAAGACTGCGTGGTGAAAGTGTGCAATTTTTACTACTTTGTTTGTAAAGATTTAACCGATTAACTGGTTACAAAAATGAATCGCGATTAAAGCATTAATCGGTAGGTTAATCGACCAAGCGCCCAGCTCTACTAATAATAGTCAGCTAACTCCAAGCGGTTTTCTAACTTTCATATATAAATTTTGTTTCCTTTTTTTTTTAATATTCATAAATTATAAATAAAAAATATTGCTTCAAAGTTGACTTTTTTCTATCATAATCTTCTCCAGGTCGCAGTTTAAAGCAAGCTATTCTCAAACCAGCGGATTTTTTTATACTATAATTGTTTGTTTAAGCGTTAGCTTTAAAATTTTAAATAAACGCTCAAATTCAAACGTTAGGTTTATATCCTGCATAACGCACCGCTATAGCAGCTTGGGGGAAAAAAACACAAGTGAAATCGGCCTGCCAGTTTGATGAACCTGGCCACGAAACCTGTGACCTTGTTTCTTTAACTCTTTCCTAAAAACTGTTCAGATGCTCGTATGGAGACGTATTAGGCACCTGACCCGCTTTAACAGGGGTCTTTGCGCAGATACCGAGGGCCAAGACCTCAGAGATTCGGCGGCACTTCGCGCACAGAGGCCAATTTCTTATTCAGGAGGGATCGTGAATTCGATACGAACTCTCGCTCCGAGCCGAGGCGGCCGACATCTTTTGTTTTGTTTATGCGCGTTTTTAGGCAGGTATTCTTGTTCTCTTACTGTTTAAGAAATATATATATATATATACATTTATTTATTTATTTATTTATTTATGTCTTGAACGCGAGAAAGAGCACGTTGTTTCCGAACAGTTAGTTATTTGGGACGCCGTTTCTTCGTCCCCGCAAGCCCGTGAGTTGGCTTTACCGCAGTCTGAGTCTTGATGCGGCAAAACAACCTTACGGGCGTCTTTTGGTTTGGAGAAAACGCTGGTAAACGGAATAAACTCAAAATTTTATCTTTTTTTTTTTTTATCTATTAATTTTTTTAAGTATATTTATTGGCAGAAATAAAATATTACAGTAGCTTTTAACTTTTTTGAATTTTAATGCGTTTTTTAATAGGAAATTTTTTTAAGAGCGCACACAAACCCCGTGAATTGTACCGACGGTTGTAGAGTAGTGGCTTGGGTTGGGTAAAAAGGGGCGTGCTTACAGCAACTGCGATCCTGAAAAATAGGCCCGTCCATTCGATTCATATGTAGATGTTTGTGTATTGCCAAACAAATACACCTTAACGCTTCCTCCGCTTAGCTGAATTAAGAATTTTACGCCCTTCGTGAAACAAACATTACTAT